CTTACATCATTTAATTAATGATCATTGCTTACATCAATTTAGTTAGGTGAGAGTTAGATATTTGTTGAATTTGTAATGGTTTAAATTAGTTTATTTGTGTGGTGTAGGATTGTTCTTGAGTAGTATAAATACCCTTCCCATTTAGTTTTAAGCATCAAGAAAAAATTAAGAGCTTCTAAGTGAGTGAAGAAGCAAAGTCTTATAAGAGTGAGTTGTAGTTCTTGTTTTCGAGTGAGAGTACTCTTGTAATTTGTTTGAGTTCAATAAAAGTTGTTTGTGTGAGCGTTTTATTCCAACAAAGTGGCATCAGAGAGAGTTGGAAAGATCGAAGGTCTCGACGAGAGGAATACGCCGCCGCCAGAATTTTCTCAATCTGAGTTCTGACGCACCGCCACGCACCGCCGGAAGACTGCTGCCAGAAAATCGAGTTGACTCACCGAGTTGAGCCGATTCAGCCGAGTTGGAGCCCTTGACCGAGGTGTCCAAGTCCCTCCAAAGTTTTTTTTTCATCGTTCCGGATTTATCCGTGCAATCGGATTTTACAAATCTCATTATATTGAGAGATATGGCAAATGGTATGGCACCATTCCAAGTTCCGACACTCAACAACAACAACTACGACAAGGGAGTATCAAAATGAAGGCACTTCTTGGATCACAAGATGTGTGGGATATCATAGAGAAAGGCTATAAATGAGCCTGCGGATGATGATGTTTTGCTACTCTTACACCAGATCAAAAGACAACTTTGAAGGATTCAAGAAAGAGAGACAAGAAGGCTCTCTACCTCATCTATCAAGCATTAGATGATGATGGTTTTGAAAAGATTTCAAGTGCAAGCTCTAGCAAGGAAGCGTGGGAGAAGCTGCAAACCTCTTACAAGGATCCGAGCAAGTGAAGAAGGTTCGTCTCCAAACATTAAGAGGTGAATTCGAATCCTTAAACATGAAAGCATCTGAGTCTATTTTCAGATTATTTCTCAAGAGTAGTAGCTGTTTCTAATCAATTAAAAAGAAATGGTGAAAAGTTAGACGATGTGAGGATATAGAGAAATACTCCGTTCGTTGGATCCCAAATTTGAGCACATCGTCGTGACGATTGAAGAAACTAAAGACTTGGAAGAAATGAAGATCGAACAGCTCCAAGGATCATTGCAAGCATACGAAGAGAAGCATAAAAAGAAGCATGAGTTTACTGAACAACTCCTCAAGCTGCAACTCAAGGATATGCATGGAGCCAACGCAATGATAGAAACCAACGGCCAAGGCAGAGGTAGAGGCCATGGACGAGGTGGAGTCGAGGTCGTGGACGAGGCTGGAATTACAACAATAACAATTCCAACAACAACTATGAGAAAGGAGAAAGCTCAACACGAGGCCGTGGAAGAATTAATCCAAACTCAAAGTATGACAAATCTCAAATTCGATGTTATAATTGTCAAAAATTTGGGCATTATGCTTCAATGTAGAGCTCCAACAACAAAATTGAGGAGAAGGCCAATTACGTGGAGGAAAAGACAGATGGCAAAGAAACTCTTCTTCTAGCACGAAAGGAAACTGATGGTGGCCAAGCAAATTCCTGGTATCTTGACAGTGGTGCAAGCAATCACATGTGTGGAAGGAAAGACAGTTTGTGGAGCTAGACGGTCAGTAAGTGGAATGTTTCATTTGGAGAGATTCCACAATAGCAGTGAAAGGGAGAGGTAACATTCTTATCCGTTTGAAAGATGGGAGACATCAATTTATTTCAAATGTCTACTATGTGCCCAATATGAAAAGTAACATTTTAAGTTAGGGCAACTGGTAGAGAAAGGTTATGATATTCATATGAATAATTATAATCTTTCTATAAAAGATGATAAATAACTTCATTGCTAAAGTGCCGATGTCAAAGAATAGAATGTTCTTGATCAACATACAAAATGATGTTGCAAAGTGCCTGAAAGCTTGCTACAAAGATGCATCATGGCTTTGGCATCTTCGATTTGGGCATCTCAATTTGGAGGTCTAGAGCTATTATCTAAGAAGGAGATGGTGAAAGGACTACCTCACATCAACCAACCTGACCAACTCTGTGAAGGGTTGTCTAGTCGGGAAACAATTCAGGAAAGCTTTCCAAAGGAGTCAGAGACAAGAGCTAAGAAGCCACTTGAGCTCATCCATACCGATGTGTGTGGACCGATCAAGCCAAGTTCTCTCGGTAACAATAACTATTTTCTTCTCTTCATTGATGATTTTTCAAGAAAAACCTGGGTATATTTCTTGAAACAGAAGTCAGAAGTTTTGAAGTATTCAAGAAGTTCAAAGCAGCAGTGGGAGAGAGAAAGCGGTAGAAAGATCAAAGCCATGAGATCCGATCGAGGTGGAGAATTTACTTCCAGGGAGTTTCAAGAGTTCTGTGAAGCAAATGGAATTCGTCGACCATGACAGTTCCTAGATCCCCCCAGCAAAATGGTGTGGCAGAAAGAAAGAATAGAACAATCCTCGACATGGCACGAAGCATGCTCAAAAGCAAGAAAATACCAAAGAATTTTGGGCGGAAGCAGTGTGCAGTCTACTTGTCAAATCGATCTCCAACAAGAAGTGTATGGGAAAGACACCGCAAGAGGCATGGAGTGGAAGAAAGCCTGGCATTTCCCACTTGAGAACCTTTGGAAGTATAGCCCATGTTCACGTACCAGACGAGAGAAGAACGAAGCTTGATGATAAAAGCGAGAGTTTTATCTTCATCGGCTATGATGCTAATTCGAAGGGCTACAAGTTGTACAATCCAGACAATAAGAAGTTTGTGATAGTCGAGATGTGGTCTTCAACGAAGAAGGAGAATGGGATTTTAACTCCCATACAGATGACTTCAATTCTTTCCTCAGTTTGAAGAAGATGAGCAGACAATGAGGGAGCAACTAGATGAATCTCAACAAGAGCTTGCAACTCCACCCACTTCACCAACATCAACCACTCAAGGAGACTCATCACCTTCATCATCGTCAAGTGGGAGTCAAAGTGAAAGAGTTGTGCACGAACAAGAAGCCTTAGAGATCTCTATGAGGTAACTGAACGACAAGATAATCTTACATTATTTTGTCTGTTTGCCGATTGTGAACCAGTGAGCTTCAAGAAGCGGTACAAGAAAAGAAATGGAGAGATGCGATGGACGAAGAAATCAAGGCCATCGAGAAGAATGACACATGGGAACTTACCTCACTTCCCAAGGGACATAAGGCGATAGGTGTCAAATGGGTGTACAAAACAAAAGCAAAACGCCAAAGGAGAGATTGAAAGGCACAAGGCGAGGCTAGTTGCTAAAGGCTATAGTCAAAAGGCTGGAATGACTATGATGAGGTATTTGCTCCTGTTGCTCGATTGGAGACTATCAGACTAATCATTTCTTGGCAGCTCAAAACAAGTGGAAGATACAACAGATGGATGTAAAGTCTGCCTTCCTAAATGGAGTTCTTGAAGAGGAACTTTACATTCAGCAACCATCAGGCTATGAAGTCAAAGGGCATGAAGACAAGGTGTTGAAGTTGAAGAAGGCTCTTTAGGGCTAAAACAAGCACCAAGGGCATGGAATAGCCGAATCGACAAGTACTTCCAAGAGAATGGCTTCAAATGTCCCTACGAGCATGCTCTATATCAAGATCAAAGATGAAGATATTTTGATCGTGTGCCTCTACGTGGACGATTTGATCTTCACTGGAAAACCCAAGCATGTTTAATGAATTCAAGGATGTGATGATGAAAGAATTCGAGATGACAGACATGGGGCTCATGGCGTACTACCTTGGCATTGAAGTTAAGCAACAAAATGATGGAATTTTCATTTCACAGGAAAGCTATCAAAGGAGATACTGAAGAAGTTCAAGATGGAGAACTGTAAGCCAATAAGCACACCGGCAGAATACGGGATCAAGATGACCAAACATGAAGAAGGCGAAAGTGTAGATCCAACATTCTTCAAAAGTTTGGTAGGAAGTCTACGCTATCTAACTTGCACGAGACCCGATATTCTTCACGCAGTTGGATTGGTTAGTCGCTACATGGAATCCCCAACAACCACCCATTTTAAAGCCGCAAAGAGAATTCTTCGCTATCTGAAAGGTACAATTGACTTTGGCTTGTTCTATTCAGTTTCTAATGATTACAAGCTTGTTGGATATAGCGACAGTGATTGGGGTGGAGACATAGATAATCGAAGGAGCACTACTGGATTCGTATTTTCATGGGAGATATTGCATTCACATGGATGTCAAAGAAACAACCGATTGTCACATTATCCACTTGTGAAGCGGAATATGTTGCTGCTACCTCATGTGTTTGTCATGCAATTTGGCTTAGAAATCTATTGAAGGAGATTGGTTTGATACAAGAAGAGCCTATCAAGGTTTGTGTCGACAACAAGTCAGCCATTGCCTTAGCGAAGAATCCAGTATTCCATGATCGAAGCAAGCACATTGATATTCGCTACCACTATATAAGGGAGTGTGTTGCAAGAAAGATGTGGAAGTTGAATATGTGAAGTCACAAGATCAAGTTGCTGATATTTTTACCAAGCTTAAGATTAAGGAACCTACTAGGGTCACGAGATCAAGTTTAAGGGAGGGTGTTGGATCATAAACTTGATCCATTATGGGAGCCTAAACCCAAACCCAAACTAAATTGATGTCATTACTTACATCATTTAATTAAAGATGTCATTGCTTACATCATTTAATTAATGATGTCATTGCTTACATCAATTTAGTTAGGTGAGAGTTAGATATTGTTGAATTTGTAATGGTTTAAATTAGTTTATTTGTGGTGTAGGATTGTTCTTGAGTAGTATAAATACCCTTCCCATTTTAGTTTTAAGCATCAAGAAAAATAAGAGCTTCTAAGTGAGTGAAGAAGCAAAGTCTTATAAGAGTGAGTTGTAGTTCTTGTTTTCGAGTGAGAGTACTCTTGTAATATTTGTTTGAGTTTCAATAAAAGTTGTTTGTGTGAGCGTTTTATTTCCAACACCATGGATCTCCATTATCGTAGTTGGGAGCATCATTCCCCTCCGTTCCCCGCACCAAGCAGTCGAATAGGTAGTTCTGATCAACCTTCAAATCCGCCTATCAGTCAAAGGACCACCTGGAGCAGCTCTGATATGCCAAGACCAGGATCTTTTATGCATCCATTTGTTGTTGGCCACAGGTATTCCCCAATACAATTGACATTCGTGATGTGATTCGAGTTTTTTTGTACTCTCTTCATGGAAACTAGGAAAATATGTAGAACATTTTACCATTTTGTTCTGCAACCATATCCTAGAGAACATCTACAATCTTCTCCCTCAAAGAATTACTCATTCCCTAAAAGTGCCGAATGAGACAAGTTGAGAAAAACATAAAGTTCGACTTTCATGGCTGCTGCTTTCTTTATCACAGACTTAGAAAAGAAAACATTTTACTCATGGTCACATTTTCTTCATTAATCATATGGAAGGTGGTTTTTCTGCCATTTAGTTTAATTCAAGTGCTGTGTTTCTGCAGTTCTGGTGCAAGAGCAGGGAGTTCAGTTGCTCCCTCATTGATCCCTCCTTACCCTTGTAGCAATGCTCGGGCCCGTGATAGAGTACAGGCTCTCCAGGCATACTATCAACCACAACTTCCTAGCACTTCACCTGGCTTACGGACACCCATTGTTTCCGGCTCCCGAAGATCAAGCAGTCATAGAAGTCATGTTCAAGCAGGGTCAGCAGCCTCATCATCTGACCAGGTGGGTGGCTTCTATTTCATTCCATCTGGCCCATTAACCGTAACTTTCAAGAGGCAGAAAATCCTCAACCAACTCGGTTCCATGGATGGGAAAGAGATCATTTTCCTCCATTTTCACTAAACCAGGTCGACAGGGAAACCAGTTGGGGCACATTCCATCAATCCGCTGCCGTGCTCAGATATCGGTGTAAGATCCAGCAGCTTTCGCCACAGGCACGGATCTGAGAGGATGCAATGACAAGATCATTCAGAACTTATCTTTCCTCATTTTACGCCCTTACTGGGTGAAGCAAAACTACCCCTATCATGAATGAAACTGAAAGTTTATGTATGCTTTGAGAGACATATCGTGCCTGAAACTGTCAATCCCGGCAGGCTAAAGAAACTGGGAATGATGCTCCGGAATCGGTAGTCGCACGGTGTTTGTGCTGGACGTGGATTTGCTTCCTTTGGCTTTGAGGCATGTCAAATAAAATATGCGAAGAACAAATGTTGGATAGTATAACCAGATTAAGCTATCGCTTTGCAGTTGCATGTGGTTGAATAGAATGAATCTGAGTGACCCCACGTAACCGTATCCTTGGCTTGTAGGTTAACTTCTCCTAAAGTTGCGCAGCCTCCATTATACAACCAGATAGGGTTTAACCAACTTGGCCAAGTTATACTTTTAGGTGTTTATTGACAAAAAAAAACTAGAATTATAGTGCTTAATTTTTAATTAATATTCAATGTTGATTTAAACAATAAAGAGTTCAATTAAATTTCTAATTTGTGAATTAACAATATCTTAAAAAAATTAATTCCAAATCTTCCATCGAATTCCCATATCAAACCATTTCTCTACATACAAACAAGAGCATCGAGAACATCCGACTAGGAAAGATGATTTCATATAAAAGAAAAATATTCAAGCATGCAATCATGAAGTCCAAGCCATAACGATGAACCAGTTGATGTTTTAATCCACAGCCAAGGTTTAAGAACTAAATGTGAATACAATGCCAACCCTTAGACAAGTAATCTGACATTCAAGCTAAGAAATATTACAACCTGCTATAACGATAAAAACTTGATATCCTTGCACTCAATCCAACCGTCAATCAGATTTCACCTATCAACCACAACGCAGGCATTTATCAGAATTATGCAAGGGGGTAAGAATCAACGGGAAGTAGGGAAAGAGATTCAAGTAACTTACAGATGGCGAACGAGAATGAGATAAACTGCGACTCCGGCTCCTGCTCCTGCTAGGGCTGCGGTTTGGTGGGGTTCTTCTCACATTTTTACTGTGAGGCTGCATATCCAGTAATTGCAAAACACCAAGCTTTCAAAACACTCGATAAAATGTCCCTAACAAATTGAATTCGACTTACAGATGGAACTGGTGACCTTGACCTGGTGCAAGATCTGCAAAAGGTTCCAGAAGCAATTAATAAAATATTCACAACAATTTTCTACTTCGGTCCCAAGGCATCAACATCGCTTTCACCTTGGGTTAAGCTAACCATAAAAATGGATTATATCATAAGATCTTAACAAGAATCCAGCGCTACTAAAAATTCAATATTGGTTTTTAACGGAAGGTGACTGTAAATAAAGAATAATAGAAATAGAGAATGAAATCAGTAAAGCAATGAAAATACATAAATATTTAAAACAATGAAGAACATCCTCCATCTCTCTGTCACCAAAGACATTTCCTTTGCACAAATTAGAAGATGATGGTGTCCCAAGTTTGTCATATTCCCTGATTGTGGAGAATGGAGTAACAAAATTAAAAGCGTTTATTCCAAAGTGCTTTTAAATTGCAATACCCTTTCATTTATTCCGACCCGTTTGAGCTCTCTTGTGATCCAAAATCACAATATAATTAGAATTTTTAGGCCTTTTAACAGATTCCTTAGGTGCTCGACAACAACAGATTTACCTCAACAAGAAATGAGTTGCAGGCATTTGAGCACCACACCCCATCAAGTTCCTAACATCCCATCCCCAGATGGCCGCAAATTGCCAGATCTAGCAAGGAAACAAGGCAGCCCTTATGAAAAGGTATGAAAACTGGTGAACCAAGTAAATCTTTTACTTAATTACCCCACCAGTTTGGATTTTGTTTTTAAACTTAAAACTGATAAAAGAGTTTTAAGGGTTCACAAAACAAAACACAATATGGAAAGATGAAGTGCTTTCTAGTCTAGAATTTTATTAGATTAGAAAACAATAGTACTTTCATTTTGCATTCAACGTGACAAAGATTGATTAAAAAAAATTGGGTCCTTATCTGAGACAAATTGTAAAGCATAATTTAATAGTGAAAATGACGGTGGGTGGCTATAACACACAATCCCTAGTCTGAAACCACAAGCACCCCCAACAATAGGTAGCTTAAAACTTTGAAAGCAGTAACATGCAATCAGATAAACTCCTAGATACTTTTAAGGAGGCTCGCTCATACAAGGAAAGGTATAAGCAATTCGCTATCTACACAATATCTGAGGTTTGCAAACTTTTCTTTGTCAAAGCCAAAAGCTGACATTAATCAAACCATGAGCAGGTTTTAAAATGTTGACATCATGCACACAGAGCATGAAAAATGCACCTCAAGATTCTTAAGAACAGTTACACTATCAAACAATGAAGAACTCCGATTAAATAAAAGTGGTCAAAGAAAAAGATGTGAGCCACTAAACATAGACAAATTCCGACTGAAAGCAATTTTTGCATTTAGCAGAAGAAAAGGATAAACCATTAAAAAACAGTAATAAAAACATCAACAATATGCAAAGGAAGAAATAATAAATACACTTATGCAATAACCTTGAAAAGGAGCGGGCTGGTGACACTGAACGGGAACGCAGTGAAACAGACCTAGATACAGGTGGAGACCGGCTTGAGTATCTTGCCCTCGGAGACTTGCTGTAAGATAGATCAAATAAGGTAATTTGGATATGGAGTGAAACATAAATATCAATTTTCACCAAACAATGAAGACTTATCTCCTGCTCCTGCTGCTACCATAACTGTGGCCGCGACTACGGCTTCGACTGTATGGGCTACGACTTCTGGAGTAACTGTGCCTAGAATCATACTCCTCCACCTGAATATAACGTATACTTGATCAAGTAGTTTTGCACAAGCATGGACCAGGAATAAATATGCATCTAACATACCCGTATGTAAGCCCGGCTAAATGCATTCCGAAACAAAGAGTCATCAAGCTTCTTTATCTGCAGGTTGAATAAAACTCATTAAAGCAGGTTAAAACACTCAACAAACACAACTCTACATAAACAAGCTAAAGCATAAACTAGACAAGGTTTAAAGCAAAGCAGCTTACAGCATATTTCATATCATCATAGTTTGTGTAATCTACAATCCCTGTCATGCCTGCAAAGAAATTGCAGTGATACTTATATAACATCACATATAATTTATTTCAAGGTAACTGTCAATTAAATGTAATTTAGAAGGCAATCAAGTGCAGGTGCACACTTGCAATGCATCACGTAAAATATATACATAGAATTCCATCCGTCAACATAGGAAACAGCTGGCTGTCTCAACAGTTTCCAATCCATTGGTCACATTACAATCAGAGATCTCCTCCCAGTCTGTACAGTATATAGACCCAGCATTCTTGAAACAAGCCATTCAGTGTCAAGAATCCTACAGAAATCTAAGCTAATTTCAACTGAAAAGTATGGGATGATGCATTGATGCATGAAATAACATATTAAGGATTCTAATATGATTCTTCTTACCCCCACGATCACGAAACACTTGAGAGAAACAAACGTCCCCAGCTCTGCGCATGTGATCCTGGTCATAAATCAAAGACCATTTAACGAACACAAACCGTATAAAATGACCAGCACACTAATATGCATTTTGAAAACCATTAAGCAAGGACTATGTTACTCCTTCATATGGAGTATAATTGAAGAATTCTACTAAAATTTTATTGTTTCATCAGTTATGTACTGGTTATACAATTTGACTAAATTGAAACAACTAAAGAACAAAGAATAGTTAAACAACTCACCTTTAGGTCTTGCCATGAGACAGAAGAGGGTAAACCAGTCACCAGAACTGCACATTAAGCGATAATAAGATTAACTTAATCAACAAGCAGTTTAGCAAACTTCAACAATATTGTCAGAGGCTATACATATTACATACCACGATAGTCAGAGCGTTTGGAAGGTCCGCGGCTACTGCTACCACTGTAACTGCTATGGCGATCCACAGAAGATGAAGGCCGCCTTCGCCCACCATGAGCAAGTTCAACCTAAAACACATAACAGAATACACGTGGTTAGAGTGTCAAAAGTTCTTAAACTGAAAAGAGACTATAACCTTAAAGCAGGAACAAGGCAAGACTAACTACTAACCCATAAATAGTAGCCATCAAAATCGTACCCATCTCGACCACGAATTGCATCTTCAGCATCACGGGGGTCCTCAAACTGCAATTATCCATTTGGAATACTAAAACTCAAAATTTGATTTCTTATTTCTTTGCCCCACAATAACGACAAAGGAAATCTCACCTCAATAAAAGCATAACCAGGGGGCCTTGGTGGGATCTTCAAGTCAATATCAACAATGGGCCCATACTGCAGTATAGAAACACAAAAGCCACAAACAAATCATTCTTCTTTTTTTAAGAAAAAAATGCATTGAACAATCATTTGGAAACTCATTAATTTATTGTAGTTTTAAGCTAAAGTTAATTAAATATAAAGAAATCCTTCAATCATTTTCACCCTGAGTATATAATCATACGCAATATCTCGACTATCTGCAAACGTACCCTATAAAAATAACTGAAGACACTTTTACATGTAGCACTGCTTGCATGATATATTTACTAAATAATCAAGAACAAAAGTATATTAAAAAAATTAAGAAAGCGAGAACAAGAAAAATAAAAGAAACTAAAACCTTGTAAAATAAATCTTCGACTTCTCTGAGACGAGTGTCACCAGGCAGATTGCCCACATAGACCGTGCGGCTTGAACGATCCATTTTCCCTGAAACATAACTCAGTTGAACATATATAAATTTATTTCCAGAAAACTTCAATTTTAAACAATAAGAGTTCTCTAATCCTGAGAATACATATATCAAGAAAAACAATCAAACATCTTTCAATCGCCATTAAAGAAAGCTGATTACACACAATGATATAAATAAAAATTGAGTGTAAATATGTAAAACTTACCTTGAATGGTGAAAGATTGAGGGAAGTTTGGTTTCAAAGGGCAAAAAGAGTATTCTGGAATCTGGAGGGCTTTCGTGGCTTTTGGAAGGAGTTTACATTAGAAGGTGTAATTTAAAGGAAGAGAGACGCACATCTAGACTTCTAGTTTCTTCATACGTTCATGTCACGTGTTCGGTGTTCCTATTTTGATTCTTTTTGTCTTATGGTTTACGCAATGTCAACCGTTGGATTTTATGATGCTGCTGCCTTACGGTTTTACGCTACTCTATTTGTTCTATAAGGGCTGGTTACTGACCCAATCCTAGTCTCCTATTGGGCTTCTCCACATTACTATTATCATTATCTTCTCTGATACTTTGGGTGTACATATGTTAGATTAGGAATTAAACCAATAGGTTCTGATTTAATCAGGTCGATTTTTTAAAAAAAAAAAGATTTGGGTCTGGTGGGGTTTCTTAAGGTTGTATTTGGGATGGGTCAAGTTCGAGTTTAAGGTGCAAATATCATATCCGACCCAAAAATTATAATTTTATCTTATATATTTAGGGATAATTACAATAATACATCTCTATATATTATTTTCTCTCAATTAAATCTCTATTTTTATTAAATAAAAATAATTATTTTTAATAAATATATTATTTTGGGTCGAATTCAGATTTTATCTTAAAAATCATATCAGATCGAGCTCGAATTTTATCTCGAAAAATTAGGTTGAGTTCGAATCGAGTGGATGATTATAATTATCGGATCAGATTATGTGAGCCAAAAATCGATCCGACCGACCCATGCCCATCCCTATGTTAGATAGTGTCGGATTTGATTTTTTGTCAACTCAAATTTAATCTGACCATCATATAACTTTATTTTTTTATTCGAATTTGAATTTTAAAATGTTTTACCCGATTCTTTAAAGAAAATTATACTTAACTTGGTCCAATTTAACATAAATGTATATAATTTTACTTTTATTCCTAAAATAGATACCTTATTATAAACATGTAGATATTCTTTTGATAGAAGTTGCTAGTTTTATTAGAAAGATTAAATATTTAAAATTATAGTAAATGTTTACGATCATAAATGTAAACTAACGACGTAAATAGGACATGTTTTTATAATCACTAACACAAAATCTAACCACTTAAGATCACACAAGTACCATACAAAGAAAAAAATTAAAAATTTAACAAAAAAACTCGAACAACGAATAAATATGAACATATATGACCGCATCGACAAGCGAGCCACAAAATATGGTAGAGTTACTGAAAGACATTGACAAAACCACAAATCAAAACAAAGTGAAAAAACTAATTACGAATACAAATTGCGTATCTAAATCTAATCAGATGGTCAAAAGCAGGAAAGATCAACATGATAACAAATAAGCGTCATCTTGATCAATTGTAACGATGTCAAATACTACCCTAAGAAAAAAGATAAACTAAAATAACATTTTTTTTTTTTGAAAATATAAATGTAACAAAGAAAAATTAAAGATGTGATATAAAAATTAAAGTTAAAATTAGAAATATACAACCGCAAACTAGGTCAAAGATTAGTGTTATCGTCCACCAACCAAGAATAGAATAATAGATAAATGACTTTAAAAATTTGGAGAAAGATCAGCCAAGGTTTTTCTAATTAAAAAATATAAATATAAAATATTATTATAACAATCTATAAAATATAATTATATTATTATCTCAAGTTTTGTTGAGTTAAATGAAGTTTATCCACTTTTAAAAAAATTAATATTATGAAATTGAACAAAAATTTTGTTAATTTTTTTAAAATAATTTAGAATAATTATGAAATAATATATTTATTTAAAAGATTAAAATTCTAAAAAGTTCGGAGGAAAATTTCCAAATGGAGTTGATAAGAAATCTCCACGTGGTAGAGTCCAACCTTCTCTTTTATATATATACTGAAAAATAATAAAGAAAATATCTCTAAATTGTTTCTCCCTCTCTCTCTCTCTCTCTCTCTCTCTGATATACTAAAAAATATAATATTTTTATTTTATTTTCAGATTATTACAAAGCAAAAGGGACCAACTGTGGCCCAGACAATATTACAAGAAATCAACTACAAGGCCTGATCAGCAGACCCAAAGAAGGGAACCATTAGGGTTTCGTAACCCTATCCGCGCCGCCAGCAGCTGTCCGTCAGATCCATGAAAGATCTAAATTGTTTCCCTCTCTTATTTCTGTTTCCCTCTCTTATTTATGTTTCTGTCGGAAAGGCGTATTTTCTCTCCAAAATAATGACGGAATCGAAGAGCAAGTTTGAATCCATGAGGGAATGGGTTGTTAATCACAAGCTTAGAACCGTTGGTAATTATTTTTCCTTGGTACTTTATTTTTTTCTCCTGGATGTATTTATGAGTTTCTTTTTGTAGGATCTTAATTTGATTTGTTTGGGTTTGTTTTCAAATAAAAGGTTGTTTGTGGTTTAGCGGAATTGGGAGTTCCATAGCTTACAATTGGTCTCGACCTAACATGAAAACCAGCGTCAAGATCATTCACGCTAGGTAAATCGTTTTATCAATTTTCCATTTATTTTTCATTTGTTTGGTTATTGTAATTTGCATATATTTCCTTGGGTTCATGCAAAAGTATTAGAAAGTAATGATAATTGAAAAGTTTCCTCTGCAAGCTTGAAAGAAGATGTAAAAAATTTGCTTTTGTATTCCGTGTTTGAGAATTTTACATGGTTTCAAATCATCCTTCCATTCCTCTTGGTTTTGGGTCATAAATGGTTTGATTATTAGTGTTTCTAGCTGTTGGTTTCGATTAGATGAGGTATGTATATCAACCATCTGAGCTAGGTGATGCAAGTAATGCTATATTTGGGGCCTGAATTTGATTCTTGTTCCATAGCGGTTGCTAGATATGAATTTGGTATGGTATGAGGGAGGTTGTATCCCAAAATGGTTCATCCACCTCCTTTAAGACCTGGATTCGAACGGGTGGAATGATTTTCCTTGGTTCATTGTGATTGGATTTTTTCTAAGTTATGCTGAAACTACTGTGACATGTTATTTTGATTGAACTTCATGTGATATGATCTGTTTCATTATTTAAGTTTGCCTGAAGGGTATATGCTTACCTCGTTAGTCTTTTATGCCAAAAAGATTCAAAAGAACAAAAATGGTTGAATCCGGTTTTGGGGGTTCAAGGGTTTGCGGAACACAATTTTTCTCTTTTTACACGTGCAACTGAAAATACCGTTGTTTGTTACTTTGTTTGAGCATTATGTGATACTTTCTGTTTTATTCTACAAGTTTGCTTGAAGACTATATGTGTACCTCTTAGGCTTTTATTCCTAAAAGAAGCCAAAATGGTTAAAACGTGGTGTTTTGTGGGGGAGGAGGGGTACAGAGAAGGGTTTCAAGGGTTTACAAAATAGTAGTTATGTCCTTTTACATGTGCAAGATTGATACCTCTTTAAACCATGCTTTACTCTTCTTTTCCATTATCATATTGCTTATTATGTAGCTTCTTTTATTGTTGCATTTGTTTTGTATTTGTTGCAAAATTGATGTTTGCGTAATCTGCCTCTTGTCCTAAAAGAGGACAAAAATGGTTGAAAAGAGGGTCGGGGTTGAAGGGTTTATGAACATTGTAGTTCGTTCTTTTTTTACATGCGAAAGATTGATACCTCTTTAAACCATGCTCTACTCATTTGCATCCTCTTGTTGCTTGTCATGATGGTTTCTTCCAGGGGCTTATTTGATTTGATATGTATTGCATCCTTTTTGTTCGAGCCGAACTTTCATTTTGTCTTCATCAGCTTCTGATAGCTTTCTATGCCTACACCTTTCTTTACTTACCGTGCCTCATTGGTAACTAATTGTCATCTGCCTTTAATTCAGGTTGCACGCACAAGCCCTTACATTGGCCGCACTAGCCGGTGCTGCACTAGCTGAGTACTATGATCACAGGAACAAGCCGAAACCCGATCCATATGCAAAGTACCTTCCATACTCGCACAAAGAGTAGATGACTCATTAATTTTGCCCCATTCCTCATTACATTCTTTTCAACTCTTTACCTTATTTACATAAAACATACATCTGGGGCTTCTAAGTGGATTGAGATTAAGTTTTTATCTGAGCAATTTACAGAAATCAAAGTGCTTTTTTTTCTTTTCCATCTATTGATGGATGGCTGATTCCAATTTGTATTAAACATTTATTATCATATTGATTGGTTGAATTTATGGCCACTTGGCAAATGATCACCATCTTATTTATAAAATATGACATACTTTTCTTTCATTTCCAAACTAGGCGAAATGATGTTACTCTTTTTATTATTATTTTTTGTTTGAGATCGTGGTGTTTAGTAGCTACAAGCCAGACTGTCAATATAATTTCTTAAAGCTATATGCATGAAAATTGTTGTTGTCGAGTAAAGATTTTTGGTGCGTGTGGGTAGGAATTGAATTTGACTTTTAAGTCACTTTGGACAGTGACAAAAGAAATCGACTTGACAGCCTAATTTCTTCATCGTTTGTTTAATCCATAAATGATCCCAACTTGTACACTAAAAAAATTCTTAAATAATGAAACAATTGTCGTTTGCAATTAATTCATTGTTTAAGAGAGAATATGATATTGGTATTACGTATTGAAATTATAATAATACGTCACTGGGGTGACATCGTTTCTAAATGTTTTAATATCTAAACACTAATTAAAAAGCTATCTTCAATACTTAATATTTTTAAAATTGAATTTAGGTACTAAAATATATATTAACCTTTAATAATACTAGGACATCCGCTCTCTTTTTTTTCTCTTTATAACTTGTGTTAATTTTATTGATCAATCCAACTTTTTATTCTTTAATTTTGTTTAATCGGCTGATGGCACAAGTTTTGATGTTAGTTGCCGCCCGCCGGTTATATTTTTTTCTTTATTTTTTTAGTTTTTTAATAAGAATAATAATGTCTTTAGACCCTCGGATTGATTTGGATACGCGTTTTGCGCCCGTAGATAATTTTCTCACGTTGCTTGACTCTGATTTACGATTTATCGATGGTATTTCAATAGTTTTATCCCCTTTTGTGGTTTGTTTACTGATTTAGTCAGATTTATGCATATCTTTATTTTATTCGAGCTTTGGTTAGATTTTTTTAATATTTTCTTTTTATGGTCATTGTGTGATATACATGATTAGTTTTTGTGTTAATGATTATATGAAAATGTCCCAATTATAATTAGTTTATGGTTATGCTCGTAAATATTCATTGTAATTATGAATATTTTCTATTTTTAATAAAACTAACGACTTTCTATAAAAATATAGGAGAAAGTTTTTTAAAATAGAATATAGGAGAGGAGTTAATAATCACTAGTACTATCAAGAGTAGAGATAGACACAGGATCAAAGCCAAAGGGTTTTGACTTTATATCAGGTTGAGTTTTTAAAAAAAATGGATTCTAGTCGGGTTTCTAGAAAATGTCTGAGTCGGGTTTAAATTTTGAGTGAAAAATACCTAATCCGACCCGACACGAAAAATAATATAAATTTATCTTATATATTTAGAGATAATTATAATAATAATCCTCTCTGTATATTATTTCAATTAGATCCCTATTTTTATTGAATAATTTTTTTTATATAAATATATTTATTTCGAGTCGGGTCGGGTTCAGGTTGGGTGAAGTCACCCCTAAACTCAGATCGAGTTTTGGGTGGAGGGTATATATTTTCAGGCCAACTCATGCTCGTCCCTAGTCAAGAGTGCAAAGACGGCTAAGGATATAACTAGGGGTGAGCGTTCGATCGAGTATAAGAAAAAAGTTTTGAGTTATTCAAGTTGACGAGACATATTTTACTACTCGAAGTTGACTTGAAATTTTTTTTAGTCGAGTCAAGTTTTTGAGTTTCTGTTTAAATTTAGTTGTAAATAATTGTAATATTATGATATTATTCAAGTTCAATATAAATAGTTTTTTATAACCATATGCAATACATATATATTTCTTCATAGTTGTTTCATATGTGATACACATATATTATACAAATTCGAGGGACTCGACTCAAACTTAAAAATTAATCCACTAATTATTAAAAATTTTGAGTTATTCGAGTTACTATTTGAGTTGTATTTTACAACTCGATTTGAATTTGAAAATTTTTCAAGTCGAATCGAGTATATGAAATAAAAACTCGAAGTTAATTCGAGTCGAGTCAAAAAATTGATTTTTCGAGTTGAGTCGAGTTTTGCTCACTCGTAGATATAACCCTAAATTATTCTATCATATTTTTTTATAGGCACGGACCACACGACCTTAGTAGTTAAGGGACTCGTTATTATCCTTTGAGGTCTCGAGTTTGAGGATTGCAAATGTTAGTGTTGAAAATATTTTGATGTTTCGATATAACAAATTAAGTGTTATTGAATTTTAAGATTTTATAATCATTTTTGAAGTATATTCGATTAAATTATTAAAATATAAAAAATATTACTCCAAGTTTTTCAAAGGTCATTTTCAATCCTTACTTAAGTGTAAAATTGTGTTTGAAACTTAAAATATTTTTGAAACAATTTTTTACAAAGTATTTCAAACCTTAATCGAGTCAAAAATTATTTTTGGGTAGGGATGTACTGATACACTCTTTAGTGTATCGATGCACACCCAACATTGAAGCTATTTTGTTTATCGGTGCACAACCATGCATCGATACACTTAGGGATGGCAAAAAAACCCGAACCCGACGGGGAAAACCGAAAACCGAATTAAACGGGTCGGGTTCGGGGATGATAAACGGGGACGAGGACGGGGAAAACCCATTTATTTTAAATGGGGACGGGGACGGGGACGGGTTTGGTAATCCCCGCCCCGATTACCCGATTACCCGCCCCGATTACCCGCCCCGATACCCGACCCGATAAATATTAAAAATAATTATTTATATATATATATAATATTAATAAATTTAATTTAAATAAAAAATATATATTTATATATTTATATATTTAATTTAAATATATATATATATATACCCGGCCCGATTCTCGACCCAATACCCGACCCAATACCCGTTTAAATAATCGTTTATGCTAAACGGGGATACCTGTTTCCCCGCGGTTTTCCCCGATTACCCGACGAGGATCCCCCGTTTAAATCTCTACAGTTTTTTAAACGGGGACGGGTATCGGTTTTTTAAACGGGGACGGGGGGACCAATACCCGGCCCGAACACGGCCCGTTGCCATCCCTAGATACACTCATGGCTTTATTAAAACATCGAATGCATTTTGTGTACCAATACACATCCTATGCATCGATACACTCTGGCTTTATTAAAACATCGAATGCAATTAGTGTACTGATACACCCCAAGTGTACCGATACACTAAGTCATATAACGATCGAAATAATTGAATTTTACACACAGTGTACCTATACACCATAAGAGTGTATCGATACACTATGCTCCCAACAGATTTTTTAAATGATAATTGCACAATAACGACTCTATTGACTTCTCCAATAATCCCCAACGTTCAGAAGTGATTCAAGGAGTATTTAAACAAGCTGAGGAGCCATTGATCAACAAGAATTGTGAGAGAAACAAAGAGAAAGCCTTAAACATCAAGTTTGAGCAATTCAAGCCAATTTTCATTCAATATTCATTTTTTCTTTCAAGAACACTACTTATACTCAGTTGTATTATTCTTGAGTGTTATTTCTTTGTTCTAGAATTGTGCAAATATCTTGCCTAGTGAGGTTTTTCTGTAAGTTTGTTAAATTTGTATTATTCTCTTTGGGAGAGAGCGTTCTAAAAAATTTGGGGTATAATTCTTGAGGGAGTTATAAGGTTACTATTTGTCGTCAAAAGAAAGAACAAATTAGTGAATTTGTTGGAAAATCATTAGTGTGGATAGCTAAGGTAGTGGACGTAGACTTTGGTTGAGAAAGTCGAACCACTCTAAATCACTGTGCAAATATTTTCTATTTTCTGCAAAAGCTTCCACCAAAATTTTTATTGCCAATTCACCCCCTCTTGGCCAATTAGTCGATCGATTAACTCAACAATTGGTATCAAAGCTATACTCATTTGAAGGTTTAACCACCTCTTGAGTCGATTCAGGAAGAGTTATATTGATATTCAAATCATCAATGTCATATACTTCAAACTTCAACTTCGGTCTTGATTCAATGCCTGTCAACAAGCCTCCTTTCTTCAATGGAGCAAATTATGCTTATTGGAAGAATAGAATGAGGTACTTCATTTAAGCAAGTGACATGGGAGCATGAAATATCATAGAAGACGAATACATCATACCTTCCACTCATTCAAGATTGTGGAGTGAAGGAGAAAGAAGAATGTTTCAGCTCAACTCAAAGGCTATCCATATTATATTATATGCTCTAGGACCAGATGAATACGGAAGAGTTTCATCTTGTACAACCACCAAGGAAATATGTGATCAACTATAAGTCACTCATGAAGGCACAAACGAGGTAAAAGAATCTAAAATTAGTCTTCTAACTCATAGCTATGAAAATTTCAGGATGAAACCGGATGAAGACGTCAAAGTTATGACATATATATTTTTCGTCATTTTCAGTGGTCTCAAATCATATGGGGAGATCATTCCAAACAAAAAACTTGAGAGTAAGTTAGTTTACTCTCTTTCAAAAGCTTGGCAATCAAAGAAGACGGCGATTATCGAGGCTAAAAATTTAAAATCTTTAACCCTCGATGAGCTAATCGGTTCTCTCCTCATGCATGAAATGATGCTTTAAGATGATGAAGACCTCGAGAAAAGGGACGAGCCAAAGAAGGAGACGGAGAATAAGAAAAATGTTGGAGTTGCTATCAAATCCACAAAAGTTGAGAGTGATTCTAATGATGACGACGATGATGAAGAAATGACATTATTTGGCAAGCGGTTCAGAAAATTAATAAAGCCCAATAGAGGAAGAAAATTCAAAATAAATGAAGGCTTCAAAAATGAACCAAAGGAGAGTTACTCAATCATTTGCTATGAATGCAAAAAGATGGGCATATCAAATACGATTGCCCGCAATTAAAGAAAAAGGGTCAATCCAAGAAGAAGCACAAGGCACACGTGGCTACTTGGAGTGATGACAATGAGTCATCAAATG